GAGAGAGAGCAAGAGAAAGAGAGAGGGGTAAAAAAGATAGTTAGATGGATAGATGGAGAGATAGATAGGTACATAGATAAAAATATAGATAGATAGATAGATAGATAGATAGATAGATAGATAGATAAAACACAGACATTGCAAATAAACTACTGAGTTGAATCAGGGGACCGCTTAAATTAAGAGAAACATTACTCACTTCCACACTAATCTGGAAGCGGTACTAAAAGATTGTAAATGAACAATATAACAAAGTGTGTGATTGAGTAAACAAGCACGTGGTAAAAGATCTATAACCGGAAAAATGTAGGCTGTAAAAGAATAAAGACTTTAAAGCGGAGACGTGACTATCCGGATTTATGTTAAAAGTTTCATGAATTATGCATATCCAAAAGAGGTTCCATCCCCCCTAGTGACACATAATATTATCAAGGAAGAACTATTCTTCAAACGCTTCCACACGCGCTGCGAACGCGCAAGTGTCAAGTTTCAGTCCTGACCCGCACAGGTTCACCTGTCCATGGATTGTTCAATTGAAAGAAGGGCCTTCTCTGGATGTCCATTTAGATACTATTTAACCCGTCCGGCAAAATTTGGTCGTTATAGTGAAAGCGGGCCACTTGCGCTCCTATTCAAAATCGAATTGCCCCTCTTTGCTCCCCGACTTTGAGATTTGATAGACGTTTGGAGCGAACCCAGAGGGATTGTCAGACGCCCTTTGGCGTCATAAACGGCCAGCAAATAGCCCGTCGCTTTGACACCACAAGATGACACAGAGATAGAATCTGACCCTTAGCAAAATAGCCGACCTGATAGCCTGGATTTGCTGATATCTATACCATCTTAACTTGCAACATTTCCAGGATCTCTGGGGATAAACTGGTACTTTGTAGACAAAAAGTTGTGTGAATGAGGTCCACTGTTCAAATCCATGTAAGGTTAACGTTTGAATACGGTATTTTCACAGATTTATTTCTGTCTTGTCCAAGCTCAGTGTTCACTTCATGAACGCGGGTAAACGTCCAACTAGTCAGGGCTGACACACAGCCTGGACCTATTCTTCCGTAAAATCCCCGACCTAATAGGTGGAGAATCACTCCACCTCACCAACTGTTCCTGACAGGTTAAAAAAAATATTAAAATGAGAATTTGATGTGTTGTGTAGTTTTTTGTCCTCGAGTATATTTTGGTGTCATTTTGTTAAAAAGAAAACAAAAATTGGGCGTATTACGAGGAGCTGGGTAAAATAACATTAGAATGGGAAGAGAAACTGAGTTGAATTTAATTCACATTGTTTATATATATATATATAGCATTTTTATGACCCTCGTTGACAAAATTTTGATCATTTAGCAGGCGGGTTTCGAACCTACCAGTCAGGACCAACGTGGGCTGAGAAGGATAACATGTAGCAGAAGAAAGACAGAGATACTCAACGAAATATCTTTTCACACTTGAATTGAACTGAATCTTCTTCGAGAGATGGCAAAGCGTCTGCACCAAGCACAGGTAGGTGCGTTGAAGTCGCGGGCCAGATTACGGGAGTCCGAATATCTCGAGGGCCAAAGCAGAAGAAAATTGGGTAAAATCGGTTGAAATACCCGAGTTTTCAAAACTAAAACGAAAACTGATATCATAACATAATATGTCACTCAAGGGTATTTCATGATATAATAATTATGTTAGATGTATTGCCTCTTGCTAGGCCGGAAACTATTGATTTTAATTTGCAAGACAGACCGATCGATTTGTTTTGCTTTTAAAAAAATTAAAGATCAACCCACCGTAGACCAAATTCATTATCAACTACTAAGTCAACTCGAGGGCCAGACTGAAACTGCCTTTGGACTGGCTCTGGCCCGCGGGCCATACGTTGCCAATGCCTGGTCTAATCATAGATTCCGGTACGAACTTATTTGAGAAGAGACGACAAGTTGGAGGGGCTGAGCAGTCAGTAGTTGAGATGAGGGACGTACGGTCAACTGGGTGCAAGAGAAATGACAAAGGATCTTAGTGAGCGAGTTCAGAAAAGCATTCCGACGAATCCAAGGCCAAAATAATCAGGAAAATAAGACCAAAAAGAGGACAAAAACAGTTCTCCTCCTCTGACTCCCCCCTGAAAGAAGAGCGGAAAGATGAAAGAACAAAGAACCTGAGAAGCGTGAAAAGAGAAGAGGGCCCAACAGAACTGAGATTTCGTGGGTGGTGTGGCTGAGTGTGAAATTGAGTGGACAGAGAGAAGCAATTACCTCTCGACGCTAGTCCGGCTCGCTTCCCCATTGATCCAGTTACAGGGACCACCAGGTCTGTTACCCAAATTAAGGGTCCACACTTCTCTCAACTGTTGGGTGTCCAGAATCCGGTCCATGCTGAGATAGCAGCAAGGATTTAACAAAACGGGGAAAAAACGTTTTGTCCCCTAAGTACCCGTACTGATCGGTTGTTCATAATATGAAATACGGGGGACTAACGACATTTATCTCATATTATTCCTTTGCAGTGACAAACGACAAACATAAAGATGATTATAGAGGTTTAAATAGATCTAAGTCAATCTGGTGTTTTTTTTCGACGGAATTCAATTATACAACCCAGAAGGCAATGGACCGAATGCAGCATAACCAGGGAAAGCAATGCACTAGCTTTCATTAATCTAATCGGATGTGGTCCACCTCATAATATCCACTATGTGCAAAAACAAACAAGCAAAAATGTAGACATCATAAACTTTCTACACTAGGCCTTTGACACGTGCTTGCGGTGTTTTACCATGTTGTACTATCTACCCAACTTTCCGACTTTAACTTTAAATCACAAATAAATACCCACAGTTTACCCTGCAGTATCCCCTTTATTCATCGTAATGAACGATAATCATAGCTCATTCTCTTAGGCTTAAATTATTATACATGAAATAATTTAAGACAAAGGCGCTTTTTTCTTTCGTACGATTCATTTGAGTTGGACAGGCGTGTTGTTCACCGTCGCTCACGCGGGATGGCACCTTTGAAATTGGATCTGTCACTTCGGCGTCCTCTGATCCTTCATTTTGACACTGGTCTAACATTACTATGAACATTGCGTAACAGTCAAGGACCGGCAGAGAGAAAAAAAAGAAAGAAAGAGAGAGATAGAGAGAGAGGAGAGGGAGAGAGAGAGAGAGAGAGAGAGAGAGAGAGAGAGAGAGAGAGAGAGAGAGAGAGATCGCAGCAAATTAACATTTAGATTTGTAAGAACTCACCAGTCGGAAAGCTGAAGTAAACGCCCCGAGGTAAGCCACGATCCCAGACGACACAAGAATGTCTCCCGTCAAGTTGTCGTAAGTGACCCCGAGCGTCTTAGCGGCTTTTTGCCACCTGGAAAGGACAAAGTTTAACATTAGTTTTATTGGAATAGTTTTTATAACTAACAACATGATAACTAAACTGAAAATACAGGGCTGGTTTGCTTTTTCTGGACTTGGTTGACATTTTAAAAATGGCTATAAAACAGTAGAGGTTTACGGTCTAAAAAGGTATGACTACGTCTAAGTATTTGAAAACTATTGTGCTTACTTCTAAGGTCAAGAGAGTCTATGCAAAATATCAGTTCTTCACTCGTAAAGGACATGATGTCATTTTTTCCCTCTCAAATGATAACCTTACGAAACGGGTAGATCGTTTTTATCACTAAGTTACAGATCTAAACCAGACATCAGTTTTCACTGTTCGCCATTTATTCAATGCTTGGATGCTCCCAAAAACAAATCAACAACAAAAAAAGACAAATACATATTTAAAAAATGCAACCCAAAAACCAACAACGTATCTTCTGGTCTTTTCCCAGTCACTCATTCATCCATTAAGGTTTTCCAAGTAAGTTCCTCTATGTAGATATGGAGCACATGACTTGCCCTACATCCGGGCAGTGCAAGGTCACAACAAACCACCACCCCAACTGACCTGTCCTTCTCCCCACCAAGTCCTCCAATCAGCTGCGAGGCCCTGTCCAACTTCTTCTGACACATGTCCACTTGGAATTCTAGGTCAGCCTTCTTTTGCTTGTTGATCTCCAGAGTGTTTTGAAGTTTCTGTGATCACCATCAGCGTGAGAGGTAAAAGAACAGTTTGTTTCAGTAAGAGTTTTACGGCATTTGCAACGTAATAAGATCATTGAGGTCATGTAAATGTCGAAGATAAAAGGTGTTACAACACACACGCACACACACACACACACACACACACACACACACACACACACACACACACACACACACACATCCATTTCCTTTTCTGTCTCCCTCTTTCTCGTTTGTCTCTTTATTAGGCGTTTTACAGTGCCCCCCCTCCCTTTTCGTTTTCCTATTTACCGTTTGCCTCAGAGTAAGTACATGCACTTCTAGCTGTATGCATGTGTGTGAAATCGTTAACTCGATCTCCTTTTCCTATTCAGAAGAACCAACTATATTTCCATAAATGCATTCGACCATTCTTCCTTCACCAACAATGAACATGCCCAAACAAACGACAGAACATTCAAAATAATCTACTTCTTACTTTAGCCATCAAGGTATATCATATCATTCTTCCATGAGCACTAACATACTCACACCTAGAGATAAATCTAAAACAGTCAATTCACCCTCAAAATACACATTCGCACTTGGTCACTTATAACAACAGTGTACACAGACACAAATATGTTCAAATAGCAAGTGATGAAAGCGGAGAGAGAAAATGAGAGAGAGAGAGAGAGAGAGAGAGAGAGAGAGAGAGAGAGAGAGAGAGAGAGAGAGAGAGAGAGAGGGG